ACCGTTGCACAGTGAGTTAAGTCACCACCTGCGACACTGGCACCCTATATCTGAGTGCCAATTCAAGTCCCACTGCTCCGCTTCTGATCCAGCTCTCTGCTGTGGCCCAGGAGGGCAGTGGAAGATGGCCCAGGTGCTTGAACCCCTGCACCCACATGGGAGACCTGGAAGAAGCTCCTGGCTCCTACCTTTGTAGCCATTTGGGGAATGAACCAGCAAATGGAAGACCTCTCTCTCTCTCTCTCTGTCTCTCCCTCTCTCTGTCTGTAACTCTACCTCTCAAATAAATAAATAAAATCTTAAAAAAAAAAAAAAAGGCAAACGGGGTCAACCTGAAGTCCAACAACAATCAATTTATCAACTTCCATACTGCCAGAGGCAGCTGGCTCTTCCTCCCTCGGGTGTGGAGGGGGGCAGGCGGCAGGGTCTGAGCATGGTTTGGCGGGCCCAGGCAGGCAGGAGAAGGTGGGAAGGGCTATGCCCAGGCCTAGACTGAGAAGTGGCTTTCGGGGTCCTGTTACCTTGGAAACCACAAAGGGCTGCTGTGTTTGCAAACCCCTGACCCAGAGCCCTGCACCTGTGCTGCTGATGAAGCCTGCTTCCCTGGGTCTGGCAGAATGTTCCAGTCTCACCACAGGGCTTCACGCAGCACGGCTGCCGACAGTCTGCGGTCCTAGAGAACACCGCATCTCTGCAGCACGTGTCCCCAGCAGCAGATCTGCAGGGCCACAGTCGTAACCGAGGGCGACCGTTGTCAGAGAAACTCACAGCGAAGCAGGGGAGGCGGCCGCCCGGGGGGTGGACAGGGCTAGATCGAAAGGACCACAGCAGCCTGTTCCATCCCCCACCCTTGCGTCAACATCACGCTGGGGGCCCCCCACCCCCAGTCTCTGTGCCAGCGAGCCCCCCTGTTATCAGGTTGTCAGGCCAAGGCTCGTGGTGGGGAGTAGGGTGCTGGCCGTGCACCTGTGGTTCTTGGTGCTGAGCTGAGCGAACCCGGGGGCGCAGCGAATCGGCACTGCCCAGTGAGGGGTGCTCTCGGGAGTCTCGTGCCCCCTCCCAACACACACACTGGCCCACCTGTTGCGTCTGCATTTCTAACTGGTGGAGGGGCTGGCTGGCTCGTTTGCAGGCAGTGGCTCAGGCTGCTCCCACAAAGAGCAGAGATCTGTTTGGGTTGTGGTTTGGGACCCAAGGGACTGAGCAGACCCCTAACTATGCTCACTGTTTCCGCGATCCCCATGAGATCCGCCTGAGGAGGTGGAGTGGTCACGCCACCCAGTTCTCGGGGGGGGGGTGTCCTGTCCCTTCTGTATGCCCATAGGTCTCTACAGCTCCTCCTCAAGTGACAAGTTCTTTTCCCCTCACCTGCCAGCCACATGCTGTTGCTGAGTCCTGGGCTGGCCTGACTCACCTGGCTTAGGACCTGCCTGTTTCATTCTATTTAACTTCTGTTAACAGGCCGGTGAGGTGGCATAGCGGGTAAAGCCACCATCTACAGCATAGGCATCCCATATGGCTGCCCGTTCAAGTCCTGGCTGCTCCACTTCTGATCCAGCTTCCTGCTAATGTTCCTGGGAAAGCAGCAGAAGATGGCTCAGGTGCTAGGGCCCCTGCACCCACCAGGGAGACCCAGATGGAGCTCCTGGCTCTTGGCCTTGGCCTGGCTCAGCCCATTTTGGGGGAATGAACCAGAGGATACAAAAACCTCTCTATGTCTCTCCTTCTCTGTCACTCTGTCTTTCAAATAAATAAAAATTCTAAAAAAAAATTTGTCTTTCTTCTAATTTTCCTTTTTTTTTTTTTTTTAAAGAGAGAGAGAGAGAGACAGAGGCAAACAGACATAGTCCCCATCTGCTGGTTAAAAATTTTAAAAAAAATTTGTCTTTCTTCTAATTTTCCTTTTTTTTTTTTTTTTTTTTTTTAAGAGAGAGAGAGAGACAGAGGCAAACAGACATAATCCCCATCTGCTGGCTCACTCCCCAAATGCCTGCAATGGCCTGGTCTAAAGCTGGGAGCTGGAACTCAATTCAAGCCTCCTCTGTGGGTGGCAGGAGCTGTTTCTTGAGCCATCACCATTGCCTCCCAGGGTGAGCATTAGCAAGAAGTTGGAGTTGGGAGTGGGGCCAGGATTGGAACCCTGGTACTCAGATGTTGGACACAGGTATCCAGACTAGCATCTTTTTCTTTTTCCAAAATTGTATTTATTTATTTATTTGAAAGGTAGAAAGCAGTTATGAAGACAGAGAAGGGAGGGGAGAAACAGAGAGAGAGAGAGATCTTCCATTTGCTAGTTTACTCCCTAACGGACACTTCAGCAGGGGCTGGGCCAGCTGAAGCCAGGAGCACGGAGCTTCTTCCTGGCCATCCTCCACTGCTTTCCCAGGCCATAGCAGAGAGCCGGCTCAGAAGTGGAGCAGCTGGGACTCGAACCAACCACAAACCAGCATCTTAACCACTAGGTGAAATACCAGCCTCCTATCTAGCTTTTTGAACACTTTGGTTTTATCATTGTCATTTTAATGTCCAGCCTGTGGAACCAGTCACCGTGTGTTGTCTCCTTATATTTCTCCTTCTTATGGGTTGCATTTCCCATGCTTGGTGATTTTTGATTGGATGCAGTCATAGAAAATGCCACCTTTTTTGGTGCTTCTTCCTCCTTCCTGTTTCTTTTTAAAAAATATTTTGTTTTTATATTCAAAGTATTTGGGGGGTTTGGTTTTATATCCAGTGAAGGTAACCACAGTGGTTTGACACTTTGCAGCTTTTTTTTTTTTTTAACGTTTTTATTTATTTGAGAGGTAAGAGTTACAGACAGAGAGAGGGAGAGACAGAGAGAGAGAGAGATGTCTTCCATTTGCTGGTTCACTCCCCAGATGGCTGCAATGGCCAGGGCTGGGCCGATCCAAAGTCAGGAGCCAGGGGCTTCTTCCGGGTCTCCCACACGGGTGCAGGGGCCCAAGCACTTGGGCCATCTTCTACTGCCTTCCCAGGTGCATTAGCAGGGAGCTGGATGGGAAGTGGAGCAGCCGGGACTCGAACCAGTGCCCAAATGGGATGCTGGTATTGCAGGCTGCAGCTTTACCTCCTGCAAACACAGAGCCAGCCTCAACACCCCTTATTTTTAATAACCTATATTTGACTCCAAAAAAAGTTTCGGAACCTTGTAACTTAATTCACACCTGCCGCCTATCTTTTGTGTCATAGTTGCCACGTGTGTCCTACGCATTATAAACCCTTCAAAACAATGTTATAATTTTTGTTTTAAACAGTCATATATGGGGCTGGCGCTATGGCTTAGCAGGTAAAGCCTCTGTCAGCCATGTGGGGCACTGCTTCACGTCCCGGCTGCTCCACTTCCCATCCAGCTCTTTGGTATGGTCTGGGAAAGCAGTAGAAGATGGTCCAAGTGCTTGGGCTCCTGTACCCATGTGGGAGACCCAGAGGAAGCTCCTGGCTCTGATTCAGCATGGCTCCCGCCAGGGTGGCTGTTCAGGGAGTGAAGCAACGTGTGGGCAGCCACAGGTAGTCGCTCCCTTTGTTTACACTTAAACAAATGAATGGAGACTTCCCGCACAGACAATTCTGCTAGGGAGATTCCGGGAAGAGGCAGGAAGAACCTAAACCTCTCACAAGAGATGATACAGATAATCAGTCACACCTGTAACCTGCATTTATCACCTAAGTGTTTTATTGTACCCTTGTAATCAATAATTAAGAACCTTATCGGGAACTCTTTGTAACCTTAAGAGCCTTTTTGATATGTAAATCTTTTGTGCTCCTTCTTGTAAACAACTGGTCATGTTTAAATACTACTGGATTTATTCAATAAACGAGCCTTGATCAGGACTTGTCTTGGCTCCATTCTTTGTGTCCTTGTCCTCGCATTCCCACTCTCTGCTTCAGGAAGACCCAGTTCATTGTGCCGCAGGCCGGCACAGCAACGGATGGAAGACCTCTCTCTCTCTCCCTCTGTATGCCACCTTTCAATCAAATAAAATTAAAAAAAAAAAAAATTAGTCATGTGTAGGGCTGCTGCTCCACTTCAGATCCAGCTCCCTACGAATGCGCCTGGAAGGCAGCAGGTGATGGCCCAAGTACCTGGACCCCTGGCACCCACGTGGGAGACCCAATGGAGTTTCAGGCTCCTGGCCTCAGGCCCAGCCCCAGCCACCGCATTCATTTGGGGAGTGAACCCGCAGAGGGAAGATCTCTGTTTCTGCCTCTCCCTCTCTCTCAGTAACTCTACCTTGGAAATAAATAATAAAAAATCTTTATAAAAAATGTCACATGCATTTTTATGTGAGATACAAAGTGGGGTCTTTGTGAACCCGCTGTGTGGTTTGGATGTTGTTAAAGCTTTGCTGCAAAAAACCCAGATTTCCCTAAATTCACAATCAGGTGATGTTTTTAAGGACGGGGTTGGGGGGGAACGCAATCGCACCCGCTGTTTCCGTAAAAACACGAGCTGGGGGGGTCGTTCAAAACGGGGTGCACAGCTGCTGGCTGGGGCTACCGGCAGGCCGCGCCAGGCACAGAAGGGGTCGCCACCACCGCTTCCCGCTCCGCACCGCCCCCAGCCCGACACCCCGCCTCTATGCGGCAAAGCTCAGGCCGGTGCAAACCGGTTCAGTCCCCTGACTGACGTCCCGCACCGCCCAACCTGCAGCACGCCCCCGCCTCCCCACGTCTCGCTGAGAAGCCGGGAACGTCGATTAGCCCGCATGCCCCCCAGGAGGCGGCCCGGAGCCTGACTGACTGTCCTCGCTGCCTATGACGACAGCCCCGGGCTGGCCTCCGACCAATGGCATGGGCTCCCGGGCGGGGCCTCCTGCTGGCTCCGCCCCTCCCCGCTGTTCTCGTCCGCGGGAAGGGAAGGCGTGGAGGAGGTGGGGCCTGGCGCCGGCGCGCGTCTGCGCAGTACAGCGCCAGCCTCCTGGCCGCGAGTGACGTAATCTCCGCCCGCGGCCGGGAGCCCCGCCCCGCCCCGCCCTCCGCGGACCGGGAGAGCGCAGCGCGGGCGGCGCCTGCGTCCGCCGCCTCCCTCGGCGCTCGCGCAGCCGGGTCTTTGTCTGCCCGCGCCGCGACCGCCGCGCTTTGTTCCCCGCGCCCGGGCAGTCCCGCGCCGCGCTGGCGTCGTCCTCGCCCCCATCGCCGCCGCCGCCGCCGCCGCCCCCCGCGCGCGGCCGGGCCTTGCCCCCCATGGTGTCGCGGCCCGAGCCCGAGGGCGAGGCCATGGACGCCGAGCTGGCGGTGGCGCCGCCGGGCTGCTCGCACCTGGGCAGCTTCAAGGTGGACAACTGGAAGCAGAACCTGCGCGCCATCTACCAGTGCTTCGTGTGGAGCGGCACCGCCGAGGCCCGCAAGCGCAAGGTGCGCCCGGAGGCGGCCCGCGAGCCGTCTCCCCTCAGCGCCCGGAGGCGGCGGGCGCGCGCGCGGGGTCGGCGGGCGCTGTCCGGGGGCGCGGGGGGCCTGGAAACCTCCGGGCCGGCTCGCGCGCCCGCGGGAGGGGGAGGGGTCCCGTGCGTCCCCGGCCCCTCCCCTCTGCCCGAGCTGCGCGCGCAGGGCGGGGCCGGGGGCCGGGCCGCCCGGAGCTCGGGACTGCCGAGACCCCTTTTGCAGGGGGCTTGGGGAGAGCGGGGTGTGCGCGCAGGTGCAGCGGGGCGGCTTGGGGAGGTGTGGGGAGAGCCGGCGCCCGCCCGGGCTTCACGGTGGAGGAGGCGGTGCCCGGTGCGGTGTTACCGTGCTGCGGAGTGTGCGCGCAGGTGCGGCGGGGCGGCTTTGGGAGGTGTGGGGAGAGCCGGCGCCCGCCCGGGCGTCACGGTGGAGGAGGCGGTGCCTGGTGCGGTGTTTCTGTGCGCTTCCACGTGCGCGGGAAATCTGGAAACGGTGTTGCTCTTTCTGCTGCTTTCACGCCCCGCTTGCTACCATGTAGCGCCGTGCTGCGGGTTGCGCTCTGGCTGGGGTTGCGGGGCGCCGGGGTGCTGGCGCTCACCTTGGATCCACGCTGGGATGAGCTGGAGTCGGAGGGGGAACCGATGCTATAAGGAGCAGGGTGCGATGCTTGCCACCGGAGTTGTGCGCCCTACAAACTCAGGGTCTGGTGGAAGTGGGCGTACGGGCAAGGCTGGGCTCTCTGGCCTGGATTCAGACGCGTGGCGTAGGCGGCGCCTGCCCTCCTCCTCTCTTTTGCTGGCGGAGCTTGAGGAAATGCAAGGAGTCGGGTTGAAGCTGTTGCTCGCCTGGCCTGCTTTTTTTGGCTGTCTTCATTTCTGATGGCTCACTTTGGACGCTGCAGGGCGGCGGCGGTAGCGGCGGTGGCTCGCTGGCCCGGGTTTGGGCCCCGGGCGTCCCGCAGCTGCTGTTCTGCCTACCCGTGCGCGATCGGGGGGTGCGCCAGCCCCTCTTGGGTTTGTCTCCGATCTGGGGAGTCACTTTGTGTCCTGGCCAGGCGTTTGTAGTACTCTCTAGGGGGCGCCAAGGAAGAGAGAGGGTTGGGGAAGCGGTTCAGCCTGGTGCTGAGCGCGTGGATCTGGAAGGTTTGGACAGGGTTCTCGGCAGGTTTGCAGGCACGGGTTTCGTTTTCTTTTTCTTTTTAAAAGATGTATTTATCTAGGCCGGCGCCGCGGCTCACTAGGCTAATCCTCCGCCTAGCGGCGCCGGCACACCGGGTTCTAGTCCCGGTCGGGGCGCCGGATTCTGTCCCGGTTGCCCCTCTTCCAGGCCAGCCCTCTGCTGTGGCCAGGGAGTGCAGTGGAGGATGGCCCAGGTGCTTGGGCCCTGCACCCCATGGGAGACCAGGAAAAGCACCTGGCTCCTGGCTCCTGCCATCGGATCAGCGCGGTGCGCCGGCCGCAGCGCGCTGGCCGCGGCGGCCATTGGAGGGTGAACCAACGGCAAAGGAAGACCTTTCTCTCTGTCTCTCTCTCTCACTGTCCACTCTGCCTGTCAAAAAAAAAAAAAAAAAAAAAAAAAAAAAAAAAAAAAGATGTATTTATCTGAGGGGCAGAGAGAGAGAGAGAGAGAGGGGTCTTCCATCCGCTGGTTCACTCCCTAAATGGCCACAACGACCAGAGTTGTGCCAATCCAAAGCCAGGAGCCAGGAGCTGTTGCGGGTCTCCCACGGGGGTGCGGGGTCCCGGGACCCGGGCCGGCTTCTGCTACTTTCCCAGCTGCATTAGCAGGGAGCTGGATTGGAAGTGGAGCAACCACGACTCCAACCAGCGTCCATATGGGATGCTGGCACTGCAGGCTGTGGACTGGCTAGGCCACAGCGCTGACCCCACATGCTTAGTTTTCCTAATGGAAACTTCACTGTGAAAGAAAATCTTCAACTCAAGTTGTCCTGTTTGTAAACAAACCCGGGTACCTTTGAGGTTGGCACCTGAGCACGATTTAACTACAGAAAGGAGACCCTAGTTGCAGCTTTCTCATCTAGGGAGAGGCGGGTTGCGGTTTCTGTAATCCAGCTTTGGGTTTTTTGGGCAGAACAGGATCAGAGGTGTAACTCACTGCCCCTGCTAGCCTTCAGAGCTAGCGCAGATGCCTGCCACTGAAGGTAAACCTGTTCCATGGTTCAGCCTCTACGGCATCTGAAAATAAGGCAACCGTCTTAGTCCCTCAGTGTTGGCATGGGAAGATATAGACTGGCAGGAGCTCAGGAGCCTAACAGTTCAGCTGGTTGTTACAACTTACTACAGTCCGTATTACGTTTTGAAAACACCCACACTGTGGGGCAAAGTGTTTTTGAAGATTTATTACAGAGAGAGGGAGAAACACATAGAAAGAGAAAAATCTTGCATCTTCTAGTTCTCTCCCCAGATGGCCACAGTGGACCAGGGCAGGACCAGGCCAGAGCCATGAGCCTCTTCCGGGTCTCCCACATGGGTGCAGGGGCCCAGGAACTTGGGCCATCTTCTACTGCTTTCCCAAGCACATTAGCAGGGGGCTGGATTGGAAGTGAAGTGGTGCAGCCAAGACTTGAACTGGCGCCCATATGGGATGCCAGCACTCCAGGCGGTGGCTTTACCCGCTACGCCTCCACGCTGGGCCCTTCCAGTAATGTTTTCTAAATAAACATTCCTTTCTCTGACTCTCAAATTTTACAGCACTCCTCAACACAGCCGGTTTTGTAGTTCCGGTAAATTAAGTACTTTTACAAAACACGATTTGCTACTGCTGAACAAGTGTGGTGGTCAAGACTGGTTCCATCTGGGAGGCGTGGCCATTGGAGCCTGATTCGGGCATTTGGGTGAAAACTCTTAGGGACCATTTTGATTTGGGAAAAGGGCTGGAGAGGAAGGAGAATGATCTGAGTGGCTTCTGTTTTTGTTTTCTGCGCTTGCCGTCTTAACGAAGAAAGTCTGGGGTTAGGTGCCTTTTGGCATAAGGAGATGGCTGTACTCCTTCCAGCTCTGACCTAGCTAGGAGTTGCTGGGCCCCCCACCCCCCAGGAATGGGGCAGGTGTGACGCAACAGGACAGCCTGGCTATCCCCTTACAGAAGGGTCATCTCAAGCAAGACTTCCTGTGGTCTTATCTGGAGGAGCCGTGAGGGCCCAGGGGTCGCTATGTCCTGAGCTCTAGGGCTGTGGCACGGGCCGATGCTTGCTGTGTGGAATGGGAGATCTGCTCAGATGGAAAATGGCCTTTGTGTCTGTCTTGGGTCAGGGGCACTTGGGGCGCGTTTCCAGGAACGGGCAGCCAGCGTGGTCAGTGCTGTCGGCACTCTGGGATCTGAGATCTTGTCTTCTCTCCTACGCATACGCTTGGAGCAGCAGTGGCCTGGGGAACAGTAGGATAGGCCATGGCATCTGTGTGTGTTCCCAGTTGTACCAGTGATGGGGGCTGGGGATGTGGGGAGGGCACTGCTGACAGTCTTTCTGGTCTTAGTCATATTTTCATTTTTGGGGTTTCTTTTCCTTTCTTTTGTTTTACTCGCTTTCCTGCTCTGGCCTTTTTTTCTTGTTGTCATTTAAGATTTATTTATTTGAAAGAACTACAGAGAAATGGGGGAGACAGAGAGAGAGGTCTTCCATAAGCTGGTTCACTCCCCAGATGACCACAACAGCCAGTGGGTGCAGGGGCCCAAGCACTTGGCCATCTTCCGCTGCTTTCCCAGGTGCATTAGCAGGGAGCTGGATTGAAAGTGGAGCAGCGTGGACTTGAACCAGCACCCATATGGGATGCCAGCCTCACAGGCTGCAGCTTTACCCGCTATGCTCTGATGCCATCCCTGTTTTGTTTTGTTTTTAAATAGACTTCTCTCTTTTAAATTTTGTTTCTTTGGGGAATTCACTTCTTACTTCATTGGGGAATGGGGGTCTTTCAAATATTGCAAAAATTGTACTATTCATGGGAAGTAGGGGACAGGCCATTCCAGCTAACAGGTCTATCCAAAAACATAAGTATGTTTCTTTTTTTAATTGAAGTTTTTATTGGGGGATCGTTGTAGATTGACATGCTGGTTTGAGCCTGTGTATGGTGACATCTTGCAAAACTGTAGTGTGGTATTATAGCCAGAATAGGACACCTGTGTAGTTGTCATTATTTGCATGTGTGTGTGTATTTAGTTCTGTGCATATGAAAGCACTTTTCTCTTAGGACAGTTTTACGCTGACAGAAAAGTTAGTGCACTGCCAGTGTTACACCTCAGTGCCACCACCCCAACTTCCCTGATGGCCAGCATGCCAAAGGTCACAACAAAAGTCACAACTCACAGTCATATTGATACATTTTTTAAAGATTTATTTATTTAAAAGTCAGAGTTACACAGAGAGAGAAGGAGAGGCAGAAAGAAAGAGAGGTCTTCTATCTGCTGGTTTACTCTCCAGTTGACCACAATGGCCAGAGCTGCGCTGACCCAAAGCCAGGAGCTTCTTCTGGGTCTTCCATGCAGGTGCAGGGGCCCAAGGAATTGGGCCATCTTCCACTGCTTCCCCAGGCCACAGCAGAGAGCTGGATTGGAAGAGGAGCAGCCAGGACTAGAACCAGCATCTATATGGGATGCTGGCACCGCTGGCAGTGGTTTTACCTGCTACCCTGCAGTGGCTTTACCTGCTATGCCACAGCGCTGGCCCCTAAAGGTTTATTTATTTAATTGAAAGAGTTAAAGACAGAGGGAGAGACAGAGAGACTGATAACAGATCTTCTATACATGATTCAATCCCCAAATGGCTACAACAGCCAGCACTGGGCCAGGCTGAAGCCAGGAGCTTCCTCCCTCCCACGTGGGTGCAGGGACCCAAGCACTTGAGCCATCTTCCATTGTTTCCAAGGCACATTAGCAGGGAGCTGAATCGGAAATGGAGCAGCTGGGATTGGAACTAGCGCCCGTGTGGGATGCTGGCACTGCAGGCTGCAGCTTTACCAGCT